GGGGGGGACGTTTTTCCGAAAGGGAGGCGTGGGGGGGGGGAGGCACGGCCGAGGGGGTAGAGATCGCGAAGAGCGAACAAGACATGGGTATTGTATCCATTGTGCGTGTCTGCCATTTCGTTCGATGTCCGTGGTTCACGCAGGCGGGTGAGCGTCGAGGGTGAAGACCACGGAATGCAAGTAAGCAAGCAATCGCGCCGTAGATGAAGTAGAGCAACTCCTCACCAGCGATACCATGAGCACATGCACGTGTAGCTCGTAGATACCTACCGCTGATTTTTTCCGTGCCCTTGGTTCGCGTCAACTGGTGGCACTTTTTAAGGTACGGGATGGCATGGTGTCCGTGGTGCTACCGCTGTTGCTGGGACGAAGAGGTGTCCTTCTCCAGGTGCTGACACGCGAGCGGGTAGAGCTTGTCCACGATGTCCAGGTAAATGGGGCTCGGTGTGTACAGCCAGCCAGCCGCAGGCAGCGGTGTGCGACTGGGTTGTGTGGGCGGCTGTGGCTGTCTTCTGTTCTCGGTAGAACTAAGGCCGTTGATTTGATTGCCTGTTTCGGTCGACTCGTTTATTTGTTCTGGTTTGCTCTTCCGGCACGTTCACATACGTTGACGCCTGCATTCTTGCTTTTTTTTAGCTGCTCGTAAGAACCTCCCCTCCCCCGCGCCTTGTAAGCGCATCACAAATAGAGCACACATACGACGTGTACGCAAATATATGCCACCTTCTGCTTTCCTCTTTCCCCCCCCGCGAACCCTAGATCCGCGTGACCCCCGTGGCGGGGCGGCGAGACGCGCCGCCCAGCGCCAGAACCTCACTCGGCGGAGGAGGAGGCAGCCGGTGGAGGCCTGCGCCCCCGGTCGGGGAGAGGGAGCACGGGGCGAGGATTCGCGACATGGTCATGAAGGCCGCCCACGTGGGGTACGTGGAGGAGGACGAGGGGGGCGGCGGCGGCGGCGGCGGCGGAGGGGACGGGGACGGCCAGGCGGCGTGGAGGACGCCGCTGGCCTCGGTCGACTCCCTCTCGAGACAGCTGAAGGACACGTGGGAGACCTTCAACGCCAACTTTGCGACCATGGCTGGGGAGTCGAGGGAAGACGGCGGTGCCGCGGGGGGAGGGTGGGCGGGGGACTCGCGGGGCGGCGGGCCCCGCATGCTGCTACCGGAGTACTGATTCCGGAGTACTGATTTTCTTTCAGAATCGAGGCACTGCTGTGTAGAGGCGGTTTCAAGATCATGCATAGAGGAAGAAAGAGTATCCGGCGTATCCAGACGTCGCTGTATAGAGGGGGCGAAGGACCAATGGTGTGTTGGTGGCCGAACGTTAGCCGTAGAACAGCAACCACCCGTCGGGTGTGCCACGGTGGGTCAGACCTCCCGCCGCACACTCCATATTTGAAAAAAGTATTGTCGAGCACCTAGAATCGTAGATTGATTTTCGCCTGCTTGTTTTTTGGGTCGTAAATACTCCGAAGTCCCGTCGCAGTGTACATATTGGCAAAGCCGCTTACCTGAGGCAAACTTGCTATTCCTCTTAGGGGGTCTTGATACATAATAAGTAGTTTTTAAGGCTGTGTGGGGTGTCATGATGCGGGACAGTGCGCGATGACGATGGTGGTGTCATGAAGAAGCGGTAAGAGAATGCGGACAATCATCGTCTGCCGTCGTCTGGTCAATCTGATGCAGAGAGGGCGGACGAGATGAAGATTCGTATATGTATGTAAAACCAACCAATTCCGGTGCTTGCCAAAACAGGCAGTATGCGTGTGCTTCACTTCTTGTTGCGTCCTGCAGCGTGCGATGTCACACACACGAACAACCCGAGATCCGCGGGGGAGAACGGATCAGAGGCAGATGCATGTATTCCGAAAAGAGAGTAATCAACGAACTCGTACTTTTGTAGCACAACGAACACGTTAGGCCGTGCTGCTGTTATGCCATTCTAAAAAACAGCCGCCACGGCCTAACCCTCTGCTGCAGACCACGCGGCGGGGACTACAGCTCATCCTAGTTTAAGCAAAGAAGGCGTTGGCTCGAGTGCTGGCGCTCCGAGATCCGAAATCCCACCGCGATGTACATTCTCTCGCTTCTCCCAGTCCACACCATCAAACGATGCCACGAGTTTTCTTGAGGGCCGACGTGTTTTGCCCTGGGCACGACTAGTTATACTTCCGTCTTCCGTGCTCTTCATAGGTTGTGAGCTGATGCTGATGCCAACTTCGAGGTTTTTTCCGGCTCGCCGAAAGCCCCAAAACTCAACGCCACGTGAATGAAGCATCTCCTGAGGGAAGCAGGACATCGGCCTCGCTGCGCAGAATCTCTCGTCGATAGCTCAACGTTTGGTTTCGATCGCCCTTCGACGAACTTTTGGCGTTTTTTTTTTTTCTTCTTAATATGACACAACGAATCCATCTCTATCATAGAAAAGAGTCAGAGACAGATTAGCAATGAATTCATAGCGTCGGTTTTTGTTTTACCAACGCCGAGAGGAGGCTGGTCGGTACATGGGATTGTACAAGTGTTGATTCTTCTTGCCAAAACGGACGGACAAAAATACACTCTCCAATTCTCTATCATCGACGATGCCACGAAGTGGCGGGTGTGCTGGACTAAGATTCCTCCACGGCCATCTGTCGGACATCAGGGCTAACGTCGAGTAGTGTACCCTGCTCCCTGCCTGCACCAATACAGCACAATGGTTGGATCGAGCCTGCATCTCGCCACCAAAAAATACTAAACAACTTAATTTCGCCGCGTCACGGGTTCATCCCCCCTTCCGTCTGCCATGACGCCTCAGACAGAGCCGCGCTCCTATCACAGACAAAACACATCCGACATCGCACAAACGACACCAATAACAATAGCCGGGCGACACACACAAAGGAACGGACCTACATCCCAAACGACCACGGAATATATTCGACGTGAAACGTAAACCTCTCATCTCTCGCGCCTCTTCCGCTCCAAAACTTTGTGCCTTGCCTACGTGTCACCTCCGTCAACGCAAAGCACCGCAACTCCACAGCAGCGGCTGTAAAGGCGACGACAGCTGCGTGGGCTCTACACTGAATACTCCCAGCATACGTCGTCGACCAAAGCAAAAGCCGCGGGGGGAGGGCACGAAATTCCATCGGAGGAACCGTCAACAATAGCCGCAGGCAACGAGGAACAAAACCAACCACGAGCCAAAAAACGGGCAACAGGTCGCATACCGCGCCACAACAAAATGACCACAAGCGTGTCGCAAAATCATACCATACACAACAGCAGCTGCGGCAGCAGCAGCAGCAGCAGCGGCCGCCGCCACCTCTAAAACCAGGCCAACGTAAAGCAAGAGCGGGATCCTCTCTGTCTCCCCTACCCCTCTAGCGTACTGCCGGCGCGGCGGCGGCGGCGGCGGCGGTGCCCCCCACTGCGCGTTCCAGACCCCCCTCCTCTGCAGCAATCTCTGCGACCGCCACGGTGCCGCCAACCAGCCCCGAGGAAAGCGGCGAAATTTAAATTTCCGCGGCGAGTTACGCCGCGTCTGAAACCGACAGACACGCAATTGTCGGAGAAGAGACGCGCGCCCCCGCCCCGCCCCGCCCCGCCCTACACACGGGCGTCGTCGGCAGATGGCGGGACCGTCGGCTTCAAGAGCAGTGCGTCGCGAAAGCGCGCCAACAAACTCTCGCCCGCGTCCGCGCGCCAAGACAACAACACACCATGACGATGGAGCCCACAAATCCTACCGAAAAGGTGGCAGCACAGCTTTTTCTTTTGTCGTTGCCCTTACGGTGAGCGGCGCCGTGTTTGCGGCCTGCACGCTCATTAGAACATGTCGAAGGGGTTCCCGCCGGCCGCCTGCGGTCGGGGGGGCAGGGTGAAACATGATTCACGTGCGGTGAGCGAAGGGGGTCGCCGCTCAAAAAAAAAAATACGACGAAGTGATTTGAGTGAAAGAGCGGTAGCGTTGGGATGGCGATAGGAACAATACCATCGGTAGGTTGGAAGAGGGGGGCGGGGAGGGGTCTTCACGAGCAGTTTCGTCCTACTGTACCTACTAAACTACCGCGCTCCTCGGGGCCATACAGCGAACACGGCATTAAACCACCTCGCACCTGCTCCACCACACCCGTCCCCGTCACCGGCGCTGGCGCCGCCATCATACCCCCCTCCCCCTGCGCGCCGAAAGGATTACTCCCTTCGCCCCCGCCCCCGGCCCCCGCTCCTGCCGCCACGGCCACCGGCACCGCCGCCTGCTGACCGGGTACCGGGGGCATCGGCATCGACGGCGGCGCTCCCCCCGGCCCCATGCCTTGGAAACCCTGCTGAGGTTTCGGAGGCAACGGCGGCGGTGCCCCGCCTTGTGTGTGTTGCGGCTGAGCGGCGTTCGGGAGGGTCGCTGCTGGCGGGGCAGCGGCGGCGGCCGGCGTTTGGGCCGCGGCTCCGGAGGGGCTGGCCCACGAAGAGACGGCTCCCAGCGCAGCGAAGGCTGGATTATTTTTACCGTGTGTTGGTCGGACACGAGAGAGCAAGCGGGCGGGCGAGAGAAAAGGGGTGAAGACAGATACACAGGGCAATAGCCAGACCAAAGGACAACGGCAGTCGACAGACGCTGCTCTCTCGTCGACAACTTTGCCCAAGTGCGGGACGGGTGTGGGGGTCATGGCGAGCTCGGTAGGCGCCCTCTGTTGCAGTAAAATCTACGCACGCATGGTGGTGGTGCTGCCGCTGCATGATGGCCGGGGGGTCGATGTGGTTCTGCGAATCACATCCCCCGCTAGAGGCGGTAAGGCAACCACAGTACCCTCCGAAGCCAACGGTATTGCAGCCTCGAGGCCAATTCTTAGGCTTGAGCCTTTGTCCTCCCAAAACAGCCGGGTAAACCCTCTCCGAATGCGCCACCAGCGTGCTCGAAGTATCGAAAAATCTCAGTTTGGGGAAGGACCGGTGCTGCGACTGCGTGGTCACTGATCAAAAATAGCTGTGCAGCCAATAGATTCGTCGGCTCCCCATCCCCGCCCCATCACCCATCGCCTCTCCCCCCACCGTGCCTTCCATTCACACGTTACTCACCGTCAGGTCCAGCCTGCGCTTGGTGTCGCCCATTCGCAGCGGCACCCTGAGATTGCACATGATAATAAAACCGACAAAAAACAACAACAGGCGAGGGTGAGGCGAAATGTTAAGGTTCGCTGCTTGCCCCGGCTGCCTGGCGCCGACGAAGCGCGCCAAGCAAGCAGCCAAACCGAGCAGGCTTGCTTTTTTGGGTCGGAAAAATTACACTGACCAATCAGTCTGCACCCCAGACACACGTCCCGTGTGGCAAACTAACGGAATCTCGTGTGTGTACGGCGTGCACCGTGACCGCGAAACAGGCGTGCCTCTCCCATCACCTCCGGCCCCAGAAAACACTGCGCTTACGGCACGAGGGTCTCCCACACACATCGACACCGCCGCATGCACGCACGCCCCAACATGCACGCCAACCCCGTCCCCATCCCTACCTCAGCTCCCTTGTGCCGCAGGTGCGCGCGGTCCGTGTTCTTCTCTCTCCCCGTGACGGCGATCAGGACCGTGTAGTAAGGGGTCTCGTCCTCGAGGTGAACCTTCTGCACGACGCCGTCCAGAGGCGGGTCGCTCCCTCGGATGTAGAGGACCTCGTCCCCTTTCTCGAAGATCTAACGCCACAAAAAAAAAAACGGAAACAGCAAAAAGAAAAAGAAACAAAAGCGAGAACGGATCAAAACAGACAACCTATGCCGAACTATGTCGAGAGGAGTTTTATCACGGAAACGAGAGAATTAGAGGAGAGCGTAGCACCCTCTGTCATGGTGTAGGCCCTCGGAAAACGAAATGACCTGGGGCAAAGCAAAACACATACAGAAAGAAAGAGAACGATAGAGGATATGCGAGAGTTCAGACCCGAGCGAGAGGAGGGGGAGCGAGGTTCGGAACGGGCGGCGTGCGCGCGTGTCTTACAACTGGCATCGGTCGCGCTCACCGACTGACCGTAAAGCTCAGCGCGGCCAAAATCGTGTGTATTTGGTTGGTTGTTCATTCTTTTCAGCGGTATGAAACCTGCCGACCAATGGAATCGTCGCAACGGGGGGACCACGAAAAGGAAAAGCGAAAGAACGCCTCTGCGACATTGACTCCCATCACTTGATCTCGCGCGTTCTCATTCTCCTGCCAGCCTTGAATAACCCCGAGTCTGGACGCATTTGCTACCACGATTTCCATACCGCGGCACCCCTGGCGCGACGTTCACCCCCGACGCCCCCCCCCCCCCCCCCCCCCCCCTGCTACTTGGGGGATACTTGCACCACAGCGCTACGGGAACTATTGTACGTAGCA